GGGGGGGGGGGTGTTGCAGAGTCGCAAATATCAAGCGCATCCGGAAAAAAATCACCCTGCGGGACCGAGTCTTTGCCATCCCATCAGGCCTACATCAAGGAACATGCTCTTATCCATGAGAGGCAATGGTGCTGGGGGATGAGGGTGTTGATCGCAACTTCACGAAAATCGCTCGGGTCGACGATGGAGGGAGAAGCAATCGCAGACGACGCTACGGCAGCTGTGATTACAGGCTGGTGGTCGGCAATCATCTTTGGCACTACATCTACGTCGATGGGCGGGAATGCACAACGCGGGATCACTACACCGGACGTGGTGGATGGGACGCTCGAAGTCGCACTCGCAGACGAAGGTACAACACCGGCAGCGACTCCACCGGCGGACGGGAAGATCGGACTCGCACTGGCACTCGGAGGTACAACACCGGCAGCGGCACCACCGGCGGACTGGAAGCTCGGATTCGCACTCAAACTCGAAGGTACAACACCGGCAGCGACTCCACCGGTGGACGGGAAGCTCGTACTCGCATGCATGCCCGCTCCTGCGTTTGGGGGAAAAGGGGGGTTCGTGACAACAAGGCCTGTCCCAACGCTAGGCGGGGGAGCTTGGGGAGACACACGAGGGAGGGCATCAGGACCGAGGGTTTCAGCACTACCGGTATACGTGGGAGGCAAGCGAGTGGCCCAAAGAGAACATCCTACATCGGAGTAAGCAAAGGAAAGCTGACCATTGAATAGATGCACGCCATTTTCATCCAACGTAATTCTCTGCCTACGCTGCGTATGGTGCAGAGAAAACAGATTGAACGTGATGCCGGGGACGACGTACACGTCCGACATCTGCACGCAAAAATCGGTCTCGCCCGAAGGGCCAGGCATGTGGAATGCCATGTTGATGCCACCAACACATTGCACGCGCAGATAGGCACCATTCCCCACTTGGATGAACTCTTTTCCTGGTGGGATCGGCTTCATGTCGAACATGTTTTCGCTACTGCTGACAAACAAACGTGTGGCTTGCGCCGCTGCCGGCCCAAAATTTCTCTCTACCAATCTGCGAAGGGCGACTCTGAACAGACAGAGCGAAACCACTACCATGCTCACGCGCTACCACACTTGGAAAGATCTCGCCTTGTGACAAAAAACGTGTCTGAAGGAAGTGAAGATGCCCAGGGGATCCGGCTGCGTCGGGAGGAGGCGAAGGGTACGGGGCATGGGTCGAGTGCTGCTGCGGCTGCGGCTGCTGCTGGAACGACGGCGGTGGCGGAGGCTGCCGCGGTGGCTGCTGCTGCTGCTGGTAGTACGGTGTCGGAGGCGGGTAATACGGCTGCTGCTGGAAGCTGTAGTCTGGCAAAGGTTGCTGATACTGTGGCTGATGCTCCCACCCCCCATACTCGTTACCATACGCGGTCCCCTCATGGGGCGCAGCACCATACGGTTGACTTACATTTACATGCCCACACGGGGGCCGCCGCTGCTGCTGCGGTGTACGAGGGGGAGCTGGATGTCCATGATGCTGCTGTCCTCCGTAGCCGCCGTGAGGCCCGTGCCGGGGCCCACCCCCCCAGCCCCCCCCATGGCGGCTCGGCTGCTGCGGCGGCGGTCCCCGAGGTTGCTGTTGCTGCTTAGACGGCTGCTGTTGCGGGGGCTGTTGCTGTCGTTGGGGCTGCTGCTGTTGCTGAGGCTGTTGCTGTNCCCCGCCGTTCCCACTGGACCCATTTTGGACACGTCCGTCGCCCCGGTTCCCACCGGCAGCGACGAAAGCGTGCCCCGCACCATTCTGCGGCTGCCCCTCCCGTGCTGTCACCATATCCTGATGAGCACTCTCACGACCTTTTCAAGGTGCTGACGGGTCAAATTGGGGGGCGGAAGGGCACGCAGCATAGCTTTCTCCATCTTGTACTCGTAAGACAAGTTGTACACAACGTGCAAATTAGCATCATCGTCGGGGTATGTGACGCCGTGTGAGGCCAACCTACTGCGCAAAACAGCAAACCTGCCAAAGTATTCCGGCGGAGTTTCACCCACTCGCATTTTGATGGCATGGTATTCCGAAGTCAACCGTGTTTTTTCTGCTCTCGCCTGGGTTTCGAAATATACTAGAAATAGTTTCCAACCCCCACTGGGACTACCATCAGCGATAATCTGGGTCAAGACAGGCATGTAGGTGATTGTCGTGATGATCAAATTCCACGCCGTGATCGCCTTTTCTACCGTATCAGGCGAGTGCATCCTACGCAAGTCCTCCATGTCTACTCCTTCTAGCCCGACTGGAATTCTGTGGTCACTCAATACCACTTCCCTGACTCCTTCTTGCGCAAACATAGCAATCATGTTCGATCGAAAAATCAAAAACCTTGCCTGTTCATCCTCCCCTTGCCTATACGTACCATCCCACGGCCCGAGGCGCTTAACCTAAGTCATCCGAAGAGTCGCTGCGCTACTTGGTACTCTACCCGTGTCTGCGGGTGATATCTGAAGACGGCCGGTCAGGGCGTCGGCGAGAGTGCGGGCGATGTCGTCTGCGGACGGGCCGGCCGATGGTCGCCCCACATGTTGCTGGTGGCGTGTCTCGTGATCGTTCCCGCTCCGGACGTGATCTGTCCTCTGCTGCTGCTCGCCTTGTTGCCTTGTAACCTCGGCCATTCTCGCTGCTACCCTCTCGTTCACCAACTCGTTGATCCGGGCGCCGTCGTCCACTGCTTGACGGTCGCTCTCTCGGTCTCGGTTTCGGTCGGGGATGCTCATCGGTGACTGCTGCTGATCGCCGCAAAGAGATGCAACTCCAAACTAAGCTCGACGCGAATATCGTTGACGACGTGTCATACGCTAGCGAGCGTGATCGATTTTTCGGGTGGCTCAGTTCTGTGTGTTGGGAGTGTAGAGCAGCTGGGCCATGACGGGCCGTGGTAGGGGAGGGACGTATAGGAAAACGTATTGTGTTCTTCGGGGGCGTGCTCGTGCTCGTAAATCTGTCACGGCATCAAGCACGCGTCACGCTCATCACGCTCAAACTACCAAACGGATCTCTCTATTCCTCCGCATCTCATCACGGCAATTTCCGTACGTACGTACTAAAGATCTTACCCGTCATACTATGCTACGAGTACCTCCAACATATCTAACATAGAGGTCTGGGCTGCGTTTTGGTTTTTGATTTTGCTGATATATATGTGGTCTGGTCGAGACAACCACCCCAAGGGAGGGTGTTCGAGGTAGCGGCATGTGTATCGACAGAAGCGTAAACAGTCTGATTGGAACAACATATTCGCCTGATTGAGAGCGAAGTATCTGATTGAGAGCGAGAGCCAAAAAAATTGAAATTTCGGGTCCAGACGCCTCTTGCCATTTCTTGGCAAGTAGGGGACGGGCTATTCCAAGAAGCGGTGCAAATTGAAGGTCTCATCAGCAGCTTCGCGAGCATATGCGTGTCATCGTCATCGGATGCTGCAGCGAGGAGCTAGACAAGTTGCTAGATTTGCCCAGATTGGCTATTTCTGCTCAAACTGTTTCAGGGCGGTATCGCGTCGGGCGGTGGGCTCTGCTGTAGCTTCTGCTCCCCGCTGTTGTAGCTCCACAGCGAGAGACTCCCACAGGATGACCAGGGTAGCGGCTTGAAGCTACAGGCTAGCCCTTCAATTCAAGCTACACAGCAAGCTCCACCTCTCAGTGGTAGTCCGGCTACAGCGTTTCGCGCACTCTCGCTCTCAATCAGATGCTACGCTCTCAATCAGGCGAATATGTTGTTTTGGATAGTTTGAATGTCGGGACTGTCAAGCTGTAGAGTCGCTGTGTAGCCACATATTATGAGAATAGTCTGTAATGGAATGTTCTTGGTCCTTTCTCTCTGGCTGTAGGAATGTTATTAGTGAATAGTACATTAGCCCGAGGATGTGTGATACGTAGGAAAGTGCATTGGGCGCCTTCCGGTATATGCTGGGCAGGGGTTGAGATTGACAATGTTGCCAAACCACCTAAGCTCTGAAAATTCAACTGTGGGTTGCTCTCGGTGTGTAGATGCGATTATCCGGTCTCAGATTTTTAATCCGGGGTCGGGAAGGTGGGTTTTCAGCAAAACTTGGTGATTTGTCTTACTCAGTGTATAGAGAAATGCAAATGAGGGGACACGAACTTTCTGTCCCCCCCCGGGACAAAACGGGGATTTGCCCATATCTTGCCCATTTTAAGCGCTTTTTTGACCGCTGTTCCGATAGAACAAACTCTACAACTTTTGCAAACTTTGCTGGCCACTTCCGGCCAGGGGACACAAAATTTCTGCCCCACCCCGGGGACAAAACGGGGATTTGCCCATATCTTGCCCATTTTAAGCGCTTTTTTGACCGCTGTTCCGATAGAACAAACTCTACAACTTTTGCAAACTTTGCTGGCCACTTCCGGCCAGGGGACACAAAATTTCTGCCCCACCCCGGGGACAAAACGGGGATTTGCCCATATCTTGCCCATTTTATGCGCTTTTTAGACCGCTATTCCGGTAGAACAAACCCTACAGTTTGTGCAAATTCTGCTGGCCCCTTCCCACCAGGGGCCACGAAATTTGTGTCCCGCCCCGGGGACGAAACGGGGATTTGCCCATATTGTTACTACCAAGGGGCGAGGGTAGCGCACAATACTTGCAAACGTTGCGTTCGACACCACACCAGAAAAAGCAAGAAGAACAACAAACGTCGACGAGTTCCATTCTTGTGGTTGGCAGCATACACGTCCATCCCACCTCCGGGAACCTCCTCTTCGCGATACCTACGCAACCTCTTGAGCTTTCGTATTGCGCTTCCTCCCGCTCCCCCTCCTCCTCCACCTCATCCTCCTCCTCCTCCTCCTCCTCCTCGTCCTCCTCCCCTCCCTCACCTTCCTTCTCCCTTCCCCCCCCCACCTCCCGCATGGTCTCGTCAAGCGTAGGCGCTACTGGGGACTCGTCCGAAGATATGACCGGAAGAATAACTCCGGTCAATTGAGTCCCAAGCGTGCGTCTCCCAACCGTCTCTTTTCCCGACTTCTCCATCACCTCGCCAACCAAGTCGGGGTACACCTTCGCTACCCTGCAGTCATCGTAGCAGCCTAATCGGCAAGTCGAGCAGTAGCACGATGCGCCCCGAACCTGCTACTTCCAAGATCTGGTGAACTTCTTGGAGGCGGCCCATTTCCTCGCCCTGGACTCGTCTACCACCCACTTCCTAGCCGTCAACACCATGTCTCCGGCCGCTTCCACCACAAAATCGTCTGTCTGCACCCCTACACTAGTAGCCCACGCAAGACTATAGGTATCCTGCACGTCCTCCTGCTCCTCCTCTGTTCCCGTGAAAAAGTACAGCTTGGAACTTCCAGGGATCCCCGTCAGATCTATCGGTGGGCGAGGAATTTCCTTGGGTACAAACTTCCTGACCTCCAAGCTCTTGATCCGGTAAGGGGACCAGGTTGTGAAGTGGCCTTCACGCGCCTTGTCCGCCTCCACGGCGTAGCCTAGAAGAAACTCGTGCGCGACGTCGACGTCGGGGATACGCGTGCCATGCATCTCCGCGTTCCGAAGTAGGCGCTTCATGAGCGCCCCGATGCCATCATGCGTGCCCTTGAAGTGAGAAGTGACGGCGAAGTTGTGCAAAATGCGGACACCAAGCCTCCTCAGGCTCTGCGCCACTGCTCGAAAGTTCCGCTTCCCCTTGTACTGCTTGCCGCACCCGTCCGTAAACATGTGCACTCGTGGGGCCGCACTCCCAGCGGTGGCCGCAGACTTCGGTCCCGTCGTGTAGTGCGCAACAACGNCTCCACTGAAAAGGGGCGGTGAAACATCGCAGCAGACGAAAAGAAGAGGCAAAGAAAAATGTCAGCTCTTATTCCTCGTCAACACAGCCATACGTCAGCAACATTGATCGGGTTTATCAGGTACCATAGGCACACGTTTTGGGCACTCTAACCGTACAACCAGACTGACCCACCCAAACACCCACACCGCGTTGACAGAAACGTCGTCCTGCCAGGGTCGGTGAAGTTGCTGCCCTGCTCAAGTAGCCTTGACTTCAGCGCCAAGTACCGCCGGCTCTCGAGGAACATCCTCCACACACTGTCTCCCTTGTGCATGAGCTGTCTCCGAGGGTGAGAGGGTGCGTCTCTCTTCTTAGACTCCTTGTACATGTCCCTGGCTCCTNGACCTTGGCAACATAAAACACACATACAACCGAGACTACGGTGACAGCTCCGCAACGCAGCAACTTGCCTGAGTTTCCTGTTGCACGGGAAACTTCGTCGGAGTGCCAGAAAGCCCTGGCGAGAGCCATGACCTCGGGATTCGTCACGTCACTCCGTGTCTTGCGCTCGTTGTACACGTAGCATCCCTCACTC